ATCTTCCAATGGTACCTTGGGCCAGACAGTAGCAATAGAGGTGGTAAGAAGTGATTGGATGTTGTATAAATTTTGAACGTAGAGTCTTTTCATAGGAAAGTTACTTTGCTTCACTATTTTTGCTTCCTTTAGTAAAAAAGTAGACATAATTTCTCTTCTACAGGCATCATGAAGATTAGCTGATGGCAAAACCATGAGATTCCATGTGTTGATGATGTGTTAGAAATTTTGTAAATATATTTTAAATGGCACACATTAATGTATTAACATGGGAGGCAGCACTGATATAAAAACAGCTTGTTGCCAATTTGTTGTCTCGTCAAGTAAGCCACAAACAGTATATTTTGAACCTATTTTTTTGTTTTTTTTTTGGCATTCATTGTAGTATAAATGGTTATAATGATTTCAGGTGTATTCTTCCTAGCTAACCAACATGCATTAACTTGAAACAATGAAATTGCGATTTTTCTAAGTCAGAAATGTTCAAACATCTGCCATTTCTTATAGTTCAACCTAATACAGTAAGAAAGGATTAACCAGGCAATAAGGAAAGAGGTTCAGGAGATCTGGGAGGTATTCCCAGAGGATATGCCCAGAGGCTGAATGCTCCTGGGGAAATCGTAAGCATCCCTGTGCTTATTTTCTTATTTTCACTGTGAGGCTAACGAAATAAAATAAAATGGCCAGTTAAAATTTGGCAGTGTTTTGGGGTGTTGTTGCTGTTGTTGTTGTTGTTTGAGATGGAGTCTCGCTCTGTCACCCAGGCTGGAATGCAGTGACACAATCTCAGCTCACTGCAACCTCTGCCTCCCAGGTTCAAGTGATTCTCATGCTTCAACCTCCCGAGTAGCTGGTATTACAGGCATGCACCACCACACCCAGCTAATTTTTGTATTTTTAGTAGCGATGGAGTTTTGTCATGTTGGCCCGGCTGGTCTTGAACTCCTGACCTCTGGTGATCCTCCCACTTCGTCCCCCCAAAGTGCTGACATTACAGGCATGAGCCACCACACCCAGCCAAAGTTTGGCAGAGTGTTTAGTGACGTCCAAACACAAACACAATATGGTTTCAGATGAATATTCCTTATTTTTCCAATCCACATGTTAGACTTTGGGAAATAGCCCTTGGCCCCTTGATGGATCCTTCAATGTAAGTGCTATTGCAGCCTTGCAGAGCTACATTCTACTTGAAGGGCTAGTAAGTAAGATTGCAGTCTTGCAGAGCTACATTCTACTTGAATGGCTAGCTCATCTTTATATAATGCCCCAGGCCATGCAGGCTGCTTGGCATCTTTGTGGAAATAGAGTAATTGTCCCAACAAGCCCATTTAGCAATTACTCTGTGTCATTATTAAAATATTATTCTCTTATTGTGAAGAAAAGATACTAAAGCATGCTGTAGGTCAATCATTTTCTGGTGACAGGGATTAGAGGATTAGAATCCATTCAATTTTTAAAACTTTACCTAAGAATAGGTAGAAAATATATGCTTGAAATAATCTCATTCTAGTTTATTGTTATTTTATTTTTTTCTAAGCCTTCGTTACAGATATATTTTCCTACTGTAATTCAGTTTAAATGGATGGTTTTTACTGCTTAGTAAAATTGTTGACTGTTGATTTATAACTGATACAGTCCTTCGTAGTATTCAACGCTCTCGTTGAAAAAATTCAGCCACAATGAATAAGGAGCGTTCCCAAGAACTCCCAGACAAAAAAAGAAAAACAAAAGAAAACATGAAACTACCCCCTGGATCAGAATGAAAATGTATTTGCTCCTAACATCAGATGTCTTTGGTTTAGAATATTTATTTCAACTTGAAATTTTCTTAATTTGTAGACATAATCTTGACATCAGCGAACACGAGATTTTGGACACTATTGCATTGCAAATGATGAGTCTTTAGTGCAGTCAATGTTTTTATCTTAAAGAAAATGATTTTATCTGTCATGAAAATAATAAAGGTGACCTAGAAAAGTGTTCCTTAAATAATTCCAAGCTTATTATATTAATTAGCAAATATTAATTGATAGCAAACCTAATCATCTTTTCTTTTAATTTGTTCACTACTTCTGTTCCTTTGCAATCCTATTCTCACCTCATTTTATCTTTTATAAAAATACACAGAGGGTGTCTCTTTTTCACATTGGTAAACGTTTTCAATGTCACAAAGTTAATTTTCTCTATTTTTAATATAAGCAAATATTTTAATATAGCCAGTATATTTAATAAGTTACATATTAAAATATCTACTATTTCTATCCCTGGGCCTAACGTAGGTACATACTCAATATATGATTGAATTTTAAAGAAAAAATATTTACTAAAATAAAGAGTGAAATGCCAGAGTTCTTTTAAATTGTTGCTACAAATTATATCATATGGTTAAAAGGATAACTTTACTAGACAAATGGGTGTAGAGATACTTTTTTTTTTTTTTTTGAGACGGAATCTTTCACTATCACCTAGGCTGGAGTGCAGTGGCGGGATCTCGGCTCACTGCAACCTCCACCTCTTGGGTTCAAGCAAGTCTCCTGCCTCAGCCTCCCAAGTAGCTGGGATTACACACATAGCTATTTTTTGTATTTTTAGTAGAAACAGGATTTCACCATGTTGGCCAGGCTGGTATCAAACTCCTGACCTCGTGATCCACCTGCCTTGGCCTCTTGAAGTGCTGAGATTACAGGCGTGAGCCACCACACCCGGCCCATCTTGATTATTTTGTTCACAATGTTGGGTGAGAGGGTTAAGTCATGACTACTTGCTATCATATGAATTTCTGACCAGTGTTGTAATACAGAAATTTGGTGTTTCTCTTCAGACCGTTGGATGTGGACAGGGAATGAAATGTAAAATATGCCTCTCTTCAGAAAGGAAACTTATATTGAAAGAAACAAGCAAAATAGTATGCCTATACATTTTATACCTCTCCCAGGTGCATGAAGGAAGCTTGCCAACTGGTGGGCTTCTTTGGAGAGTGATCAGTCAAGGGAATGTCTCCTTTGATGGAAATCCCCCAATATCAGTCTCTGAAGATCTTTTCTGTGAAGTCTGCAGTTCCTCCAGTGAGGAATCCCATGTTCTCTGGCCTGGAAAGTGGTAGGAAGAGTGTAGAGCCGGTTGCCTGACTGCAAGAGAAGTAGCCTGGGAAAGCCTCACCCTTTTTGAACAGTGCCTCTCCCCTCCCCTTCAGTGCTTCTACTGTCATGCCACCTGGAGCATCTCTGGGCGGTCTTTTTTTTGAGACGGAGTTTCGCTCTGCCGCCCAGGCTGGAGTGCAGTGGCCGGATCTCAGCTCACTGCAAGCTCCGCCTCCCGGGTTCACGCCATTCTCCTGCCTCAGCCTCCCAGCAGCTGGGACTACAGGCGCCCGCCACCTCGTCCGGCTAGTTTTTTGTATTTTTTTTTAGTAGAGACGGGGTTTCACCGTGTCAGCCAGAATGGTCTCCATCTCCTGACCTCGTGATCCGCCCGTCTCGGCCTCCCAAAGTGCTGGGATTACAGGGTTGAGCCACCGCGCCCGGTCTGGGCAGTCTTAATAGAAAGTAAATCTTCCATATTCTGAAAGAGTATGAGAAGCAGCGTTCACCTGGCTGCTCAGGGTTTAGGTGAGGATCTGACTGTCAGCCCATTTGCCTCTACCTTCACTTCCAAACTAGCAGTGCCTCCAATCCAGGATCCCCTAGAGTGCTACAATGTGACTTCTCTCGCTTCTCATGGTGCTCCTGTCTGCTGCTGCTTTGCCAATTCCCCTACTTCTCTTCTTTTCTCTCCTCTCCTCTCCTCTTCTTTTCTCTCGTTTCTTTTCTTTCTAGACAGGGACTCACTCTGTCACTCAGGCTGAAGTGCATTGGCATGATCTTGGCTCACTGCAACCTCCACCTCCTGGGTTCAAGCAATTCTCCTGCTTCAGCCTCCCGAGTAGCTGGGACTACAGGCGCCCGCCACCGCGTCCAGCTAATTTTTGTATTTTTAGTAGAGACAGGGTTTCTCCATGTTGGCCAGGCTGGTCTCGAGCTCCTGACCTCAAGTGATCTGCCCACCTCAACTTCCCGAAGTTCTGGGATTACAGGTGTGAGCCCCCGCACCAGGCCCTCCACATGCTTTTTATCATCTACCAGCTTGCTGACATTGCACACTAGCTGTTCTTTACCTTTCTCTTTGACTTTGTCAATTTGCGTCTTTTACAGTTTTTCTTTACTCATTTTCTAGTGGGCTTTGTGAGAAGGAAAGAATTAAATTCATGTGTTCAATCTAACCAAAAGTCCCCAAGTCCTTCTTAACTCTTACCTTCAGAAATACACTTCGCCCATTGTTTTCCCATAAAAGAGGAAAGTGTGTCAGTATAAACAGACTGCAGTTTAAAGCAAGGAAATTACATTTTTCCCTCTGAGAAGGATTTTGCGTCCCGAGGAATAATTCTGTAGAGGCAACAACAGTTATTGGAGTCACCACATGAGTTAAATGCTGGGGATACCAAAATTAGCAAGGTGTGATCTTTGCTTTCAAAAATCTTATTCTAGGCAGTGGCTCATGCCCGTAATCCCAGCATTTTGGGATGCCAAGGCGGGAGGATCACTTGAGCCCAGGAGTTTGAGACCAGCCTGGGCAACATAGGGAGAAAAAGACGCAAGCTCCGTAAGCAGAGAGACCTGCGTGCACATTTTGACTGAGCCCCTTCCTTGTTGTGTAGCATTAGGTAACTGATTAAAATGCTCCTGTGCCTTTCCACAGCATAACCCAAACAGCACAATAGGACCGCGAAAAGAACCAGACTCCTTCCTCTGTTACTGTGATGGAACAGGTTCAATTCTAGTTAACACTGAGTGTCATTCTGTGTGGTGAGAGACTGGGAAAATCTGGGAGAATTTCCTCGGCGACTCCAGGATTAGGGATGGCCTGCGGCTGCATCTGGCTTCCTGGAGCTACTTACGTCTGAACTCTGGTCTCATGAAAAATTCAAGGTTGATACATTTATAAAATTCTTTTTATTCTTGCAGTTTTTTCAAAGGGGGACATGGCAAAGATGTTCAGTTTCATCCTTGTTGTCACCGCTCTGATAATGGGCAGGGAAAGTTCGGTAAGCTTATTGTGAAAACTATTGTTATATTTATAATGCCTGCTTTTATCTGAATTTTCTTTCATTTTGCATTAAACCTATAGTGACTTGTCATTGAAAAAACTAAGGGGGAAAAGCAAAGAAGGCTGGTGCAAGCACTGGACCCTAGTAAAGCAGCACTTCAAAGAGCTTTACATTTTTTTTTTTTGGGGAGTCTGAGGCGGGTGGATCACAAGGTCAGGAGTTGGAGACCAGCCTGGCCAATATGGTGAAACCCCGCTTTACTAAAAAAAAAAAAAAAAAAAATAGCTGGGCATGATGGCACGCACCCGTAGTCCTAGCTACTCAGGAGGCTGAGGCAGGAGAATCTCTTGAACCCGGGAGGCAGAGATTGCAGTGAGCTGAGATCATGCCACTTCACTCTAGCCTGGGTGACAGAGTGAGACTTCATCTCCAAAAAAAAAAAAGTGCTTTACATTTTTTAAAATAAAAAGTATTCACAATAAATAAGCAATTTAAAAAAATTCACTGGAGTTATTTGGTTGGAATATTAGAAATTTGAAACTGTCAATAGTAATTAAAATTAACCTTGGGCTTTTCAATATTGAAAAGTATAAAACTAACCAGATTATTCGAAAAATCGAACTTGTGTTGTCCTTCATTTGTAAATAAAAAAGACAAAACATTCATTCAAAGGTCTTAGAGAAAGAAAACTCCTAGGTTTTAAATAAGCTTACTAAATATATATATACAGTCTTATAAAAATTGGACATACTTGAGCTGTGATCTGTTCAGTTATTTTAAAATTGCATAGTGCACTATGTTTAACAATACCACAACTAATCCCCCACCTTTGTGAAACAACACAGGACCTAGACACCATAAAATGTTCTTGCTGTTCAATTTTTAGCCTATGTGACTCAAGGTGCTAAGCAAATAACTCTCTCAGAGTGAATAAATCTGAGTGATAGGGAGAGAATAACAAGAGCAAATAAGAAAGAATCCTAGAGAGGCCGGGCGGCGCCGTGGCTCACGCCTGTAATCCCAGCACTTTGAGAGGCCAAGGTGGGTGGATCTCTTGAGACCAGGAGTTGGAGACCAGCCTGGGCAACAAAACGAAACCCCGTCTCTACTAAAAATACAAAAATTAGCCGGGTGTCATGGCACACAACCTGTATAATCCTAGCTACTTACGAGGCTGAAGCACAAGAATCACTTGAACCAGAGTGGCAGAGGTTGCAGTGAGCTGAGATTGCACCACTGCACTCCAGCCAGGGCAACAGAGCGAGACTGTGTCCAAAGAAAGAGAGAAAGAGAGAGAAGGAATCATCCTAGAAAAATGGCTGGGAGAGGTTCCGTATCTTGGACCTAGGGATGAGAAGAAGGGAAAGAAAGAAAAGAAGAAAGAAAAGTAAAGGGAAAGAAAGAAGGAAAGAAAGAAAGAAGAAAAGGAATGAAGGAAGGAAGGAAGGAAAGAAGAAAGGAAGGAAGGAATGAAGGAAGGAAGGAAGGGGCAGCAAGGAAAGGAAGGGAGGGAGGAAGGAAAGAAGGAAAGAAAGAAGGAAGGAAGGGAGGGAGGGAGAGAGGGAAGGGAAAATAAAGGAAAAGAACAAAAGGAAAGAAAGAAAAGAAGATAAATCATCCTAGAAAAAATGTCTGGGAGAGCATCTGAGAAAGGAAAGGAAAGGGGAAGGGAAAGGGGAAGGGAGAAATCATCGTAGAAAAATGGCTGGGAGAGGTTCCATGACTTTGACCTAGAGATGGGAGGTAGGGGAGATGTAATATATATACACACACACACTACATATATATGTATATATACTACATATATACACACCATATGTATATGTATACCATATATAAATATAAATATATTATATATACATATATTTGATATAATATAACAAATATAATATATAAATATATTATCTAAATTTATACATAATATAATATAGAAATATGTTATATTATAAATAGAAATATATAAATGCATTTATACCAGAGGGCCATTCAAAAATCTCATTTATTATGGGGATTTACATGCCAACGGTACAATTAACTTCTGTAAAGCACATTGTTGTTTAGAAAACACGTAAGCAATGTCATGTAGAGATTGAGAGCATGGTCCTTGAACTGAATTTGAATCCCACCTCCGCTTACCCACTGAGCCCTTTCCTACCTCATGGAATTGTTATGAGGATCAGATGAGACAACTGTAAAGCTCCTAGCATAGTGATTCAGATTATTTTATATTATTTGATCTTTTGAGTCCAGGAGTTTTGGCATAAGCCATAATTTCCAATTCTTCAAATAGCAGGTAGTATTAGAAATTTTCAAACCACTTTTTGTATGGAATAATATTCTGAAATGGGAATTGGAGACAAAACGGAATCACTGATTTATCCAAATATTTAAAAAGCACTTGTTTTCCATGAATATGAGATGCATACTCATCTCATCTCACCTGTTTTGCAGGCGCTCGAGGACTGTGCCCAGGAGCAGGTGCGGCTCAGAGCCCAGGTGCGCCTGCTTGAGACCCGCAGCTACCTGAGAGCGCTGAGGCAGAAAATCATCTTGAACCTGGGGAGGTGGGAGTGTTGCAGTTGAGCCTGAGATCGTCCACTGCACTACAGCCTGGGGTGACGCAGTGAGACTCCGTCTCAAAAAAAAAAAAAAAAAAAAAAAAAAAAAATTAGTGTACACTTGGCAGATTACAACGGGGAATTTTTGCATTTGAGCTTTGTTTGTGTATGTTTCCTGTTACATGTATGCAGTTTTTCCTTCTGAAATCCTAATGTGCATTAGGGTGGCAAATAAGGGTAAAAAAATAAGGAAGCAGAGAAAGGAAAAAGAACCCAGAATTACTAAGGAAAATGAAACAGTAGTTTTTTATAGCGGTATATTTAATCTTGT